CGCATAAAACATAACTGCACACATTTCTTGGCTTAGAACTTTAAAAACCCCCGTACAACAAACATCGTAAGGTCCGTTACAATTGAAATAATTTTCGTAGTTGTTTAATTTTGTATTTTATTGTTTCAATAATTAAGTACTAGGATCTACAGTTCACCAATGTATGCAATAAATAGACATGATTTTGTTGTTTTATTTTTAGAAGAACGAGGAATGAGCTTAAAAAATTCTGCTACATTTCACTAGCTCTGAAGAACCTATGCTTTATTAGTAAAGTAGCAGTTTTCACATTTTGTGATTTTATAAATTCTAAGAAATCCAAATTTCATAGTTAGAAGTTAAATAGCTACCAAAACATCCTTAGAAACTACCTATTTTAAGTCTTTGATGTCAGTCTAACTCTAAACAAACATTGCGCCGTTTTAACTCAATGAAGGTTTCCCCGGTTTGTCACGCCCAATATTTTCCCAGAACCTTATCAGTTCAGCTGACAGAATGACCGGTGACTAGATAGGTTTTTAACGACGCTACAAGACAAGACGATCGTAACTGTGTCTAGGCGACTCCGCGGGTTTTCCGTCTGGGTAACGGATACCGGCGAGACTGGTTTAATTGTATTTATTAGTGGTGATTAATGACTAATCCGACTAATTGGTTACCATCCATCGGATCACACGGGAAATAAACATCAAATTAGTAAATTGATGAGTAATTGTCTATGTAAAATTGTTTTTCCTATGTCAAGTGTTGTGAAATAATATGCGTGGGGTTATCTTAATCATGATTTGTGAGTTAAATTTGGGTTACTCCATTCACGAAAACCACTGATAATAACAAAACGAGTAATATACACATAGATCTGTAATTGTTATCGCTCATGCTCACCTTATGTAGTTTCTAGGTTAAATTTTCGTCATAAACAGAAAATTGAAATGGCGACCATACGAAGGGAGGTATTTTAAGCAAAGTATGAATTAAGATAAATTAGGTATGCCATACATGTGATAGGGACAACAAACCTAATAATTTTGGGCTGGAGTTGTAAGTTGTACAAATGTTGTACGTGTCTAAAAGGGTGAGAGAAAACTGATACTTTTAATTCTAGGAAGGCTTCGTTATCATGGTAATTCTAGCCTTCTTGCATGAGGCCCCAGGAAACAATCATAACAATCACACAGCACATCTCTTGTCAGTAATCCCCGCAAGATTTGTATTTACACTTAGTAGCTTTGGGGGTTTCCTTATATCTACGATCAGTTTTCATTGAAAATTACTTGTTACAACATTCAACAGAAATAAACGATTGTTTCTGCGGTTACATTAATATCTCTTGACTCTTGCTTGTGTCACAGCGCAGTTATTGTTCGAAAATATACGCTACATAATTAACTTACGCAACACAAAATGGAGAATGGCGAATATGTATTTTTCCTGAAATTATGTATGTAAGAGATGTTTCTATAAACCAATTATTTGTTGCTAATATTGTACCTCTACTAAACAATTTATTATTAACAGCCCTACATTTAGTTAGAATGTAAAATAACTGTGATGAATTCATTTTCACTGACAACAAATTAACACAAAAACAATCTTTTGTTTTGTTTTTGGAAGCAAGGGAATCGTTTACCATATCAACGTTATTTATTGTGCATCTATCAAACTTTAACTTTTGTACTAGACTTAGTGAAGGTGACAAGTAACATAAAATTGTTTTGTCGTGACATCAAATATTTGATTTAACTTTAATATTATTTCAAGCTTATCGGTTATGACGTCCTCATGTCAACATTAGAGATTACATAGAATCTGGATTAATATAGGCCTACTGTATGACTATGACTATATCAGTATTGGGCAATGGTCTAATTGTAAAGATACAACAATCATCACGCAATATTAAGTTCTGGAAAAAACAATCTACTTAACTTTAATTTAATTTATATTCTTCAAGCGTATAATTTTTTATATCCTAGGAATAATTTCTTATTAGGAAATTACTCGTGAAACCATCAAAGCAATCAGTTGTCAAGGTTAACTACTGTTTATCTCTATCTGTAAACAAACTGATTCGTCGCTATCGATAAAAGATAAGCTAACATTTATCTTACTCAGCCCACGAAAATCTTCAAGTTCCCCAAGTCCAATGTTATTTATTGTGATACATATTACCCTCAACCCTCATCATTCATTATTGTGAAATCGTCGACAACGTAGAGATAACTAGAAACAAAACAGAGGAACTAAGTTCGGTTCCGGCTCAGATTGGACTGATAAACGATCAGCTGATCATGACAAGAATGACGTCATTATGTCTCACAGCTGGTTTCGGTCATTGTTGTAACCTAGCAACCGCTGACGTGTTTCCATTCATTGTTGAGTTTGTTGCATCATCGAACATAGGGAGGGGAAATGTTCTAAAGAAGTGCGACTTTTGAAGTACGTTGCTAATTATCGCACACCTGTGTTACAATTCGCAATAGCAGACATTGTATTGTAGATTGTACACAGTTACAGTACAATGTTTATATACTAAATTAGTCCCTATATTTAGTTGTACTAAATATGTACAACTTGTATTAACTTAATTTTCTTGGTTTTAATCAACTGAATCCTGAATCTGGATAAAATTCTAGTTTTTTTTTTCAAACTGTCAAAAAAACTGTCATTTTTTGTAGCTTGCCTATTTTATATGGACAAAAAATGTGTTATTTGATCTTAGACACGTCACTTGTATATATAGACTTAGACTATAATATATAAATCCCAAAGTACCCATGAACTTTTGAGAAAACTACAAGTCACACCTCCATAAACCATATAGGCCTACCTAAAATGTTCGTCATGACAAGAAGCCTTGCGCAAAACTACCCATTTTTTCATAAATTGCCCTTTAAGGTCGTCATTCCTAAAGGGAACTTTCCATATTTACCTAATGTTAACAATACCCTAGCTGTACTTATTTGTTTGTTATTCTTTCAATTTACTACCCTATTAAAAAAAGGTGTGATTATTTGGTTGTATTACAGTATTCTGTTTTGTTTATTTCAGCTTAACTTAACCAATCAATAGTTTTATTAATACTTATGAAGTCAACGGGCTGAAGCCCAGTGGGTAACAGCTAGTTATATATATAGCCTATGTAATATATGGCTTAATATCCCATCTTGCCCTAGAAGGTTTTTCTTTTATTCATTGGCAATTATTATTTTTTATAATCACTGTATAATTATTTGACCTAAGCAGATTTACCGTAAAACAATTTTTGTTATAAAATTAAAAAGATTTTGTTTATAATTTAAAATTTTACTGAATTTTCTCCATTTGATATTTAAAACTAAAATGCCTACACAGAACACATACATAACAGCAGCCCATATAGAGTAACGTAACTGTTTTTTAACAGAAAGTAACAGATATTTAACAGACTCAAATAATATGGATTTACGGTAGTTTCCAATCAAAATATTTTTTAATATACATATCAGTGTTATTATTTGTTATTTCAAACATATTCACGGTATGTCAAATTAATTAAAAAATATCTTGAATAATGAATTTCTTGACAAATCCATTAAATTTTATCAACATCTATGAACTTTGATAAATTGGTTGTTACAAAGCTTGTCATGGCATCCTACTCCACTCCACACTCAGTCTTCGCTCACATTTTGGTTAAAATACATCCAGTTGCGTCCCTTTATGTAATAATAAGAATATTAGGCCTAATTGATGGGTTTCTCAATGGATTAAGTAATGGCATTTTCCCGCATATTTTTAACCTCTAATCCTTGACCCCTCAGTGTGTACTGCTGTGTAGTATTGTAGGGGAGGTCCGAGGTAGGCTATAGATTCATCCCATAGACACTGGTACTGACTGGTAGACTTACTGGTAGATGAGCTGACGCCAGCCTGGTCTAAACCACTGCCATATGTACGTTGTTGTATAATGCAGTCAGGTCTGGTTGACCTCACAGGAACACCTGTGCTGCTGGGGGCCGAGCTTAGCTCAGTGAAAACTCTTCAGCCCATCACAAAAATGACAAAACCTTTTCATGTAATTAATTTATGATTTACCAAATTTATTAATGTTGTTGAACCAACTCTAACTGTAACTGTCGATAAAATGTATAATGGATGTGATGGGTTTTTATTTTTACAATTTAATCCACCTCAAGCTTATTTTGATTTTTTTAGCAAAAACATAAAAAAACTTGTTAAACTTGATCGGTTCAAAAACTAAATTTTGGAAAAATACATTTTTATTGAACTTTGTTATAGTTTGTAGCAAATAGTACTCATTTTTGCCTTAAGCGATTTTATCATTTTCAATGAAGTAGCTAGCGAAATTTTAATACCAAGAGATTCTTTCTTTACCTCATTGTGCTTTAACCATGGCAATAATACTGACCTTAACTACTTTTACCTTCGAGCACTTATCCACCTTCATTATTTTCTCACTAAATTTTAAGCTGATTTGAAATTTACACTCATGCCACCTTATGAAGCCATATTAATAAATAAACCAACAGATTTTATTTTTTAAACATTCTTACGGGTAATCATATGTTTAGCTATCTGGGGGATTCAACTGAATCAACAATCCAATTATGAACAGTAAAAGATCACAATATAAACTTATCAATCAGTTCTCAGCTAGTAATACTAAGCCCCGCTGTGTTGTAGGTCCACCAGAAGCCCCCGCTGCACGTCCCAGTGTCTCCTCCGCGGGGCTGGGTTGTGTGACCGTGGCTTGGTCCAGCCCCGCCTATGACGGAGGCTGTGTCATCACCGGGTACAGTGTGGAGATGAGGACAGCTCTGTCACACCAGTGGAATGTGGTTGCTGACAGGTGAATACACTAATATTTAATTTTTTATTTAGATCTTTTTACTTGATGGTAAAACATTTTTTTCTTAATTCAAGTGATTTTTTGTACTGTTGTATTGTTGAAGCAGTAAAACCATTCCAATTTCAATTCAATCGTGTTGAAACTGTAAAAATATTGTTCTGACAAAAAGTACCTAGTTTGTAAGAAGAAATTTTGGTTATACATACATCACAAAAGTCTTGAGCAACGATCATCTCTTTCTGTAATAAAGTACAACTTTGTCAGTCTTCAAACTACGATAATTTCCACACTGTAAACCTCTTGTGTTATGTAATCAACTATATATTTAATACAATAAAAGGTTTTTCTGTAACTTCCCTTTTTCACCTGCCCTACTTAACCGATTTTACGATTGATGTGTCATTGTAAAGCTTGTGATCTAGCGAAGGGATAGTGGTAACTAAAAAGGCCATTTCCTTTAGGTCTTTGTCCGGCTAGCGTTTCAATTGTTTTTAGAGTTCACTTTCAAATATCTAGAGATTCTGAACTTTCTTTAATTATATCGGTTTTAAATGTGAATTCTAATTTAACAGCTGTTCCTCCAGTTTAATGCTCAACAACAGTTAGGTTTGTAACTAAGAGGCTATTGTTATTATGATTGTAACCTGATTGAGGTAGGTAAATAACTATTTTTTGTATAAATACACAGCCAACATCCACTAAATTTAATTTATTGTAAATTAATAGTATTATTCTCCTAATAACTGTCTGAAATTAACTTAGCCTAGGTCTAGTTTGAGTTATTCACCATCTCCAATACATCTTCTTTACACGCCTTGGATTATTACTGTGGGTGGTAACTGGGTACGTAAGCCTGATCTAACATCTCTGTGATTTCTGTCTAGATGCCACTCACTGTCACATGTGGTCCGAGGACTGACTCCAGGACAGACTTATCTGTTCAGGGTGAGAGCAGAGAACATCCACGGAGCCAGTGAGAGCAGCGCTGAGTCCTTCCCCTTCACACTGCAGTTGCCCCACACAGGTACTTTGTAGACATAGCTAGGTAGACACTCAAAACACAGACAGAATTTGCTCCTCTCGATATACAATAGTTTATGTGACATGAAAGGTGCTATTGTTTACAAAGAAAACCAACTACTGGTACTGTTCTATCAGTTTGACTTAATTAATAAATCGGCAAATTCAACATTAATCAGTATTTTATATCAGCACACTCTTTTGGTGGCTCAGTTCTACTAAATTATTTAATTTCTTTTCTAAAATTTGCTTCAGCTTTTAACATGGCATTTGAATGTCTAGTTCTTTCAATAGGAATAGACTAAGGCTATAAATGTGTTTTTGTTTATCAATTAATTTTAGTAATATTTTTTCGGTTTTCAGAAACCTTTGAAAACTTCTAAATTTCAATATAATAAAAACTGTATCCTTATTATGATTCCAAACTGTAGCTGAGTAAATATAGTGGTGGTATATTAGTAACTAAAAGGTTGTCATTTCTACCAGGATCAAAAGTCAGTGGATTTTTTTAAGCTTCTAACTGGACCCCTGAGTTGTTTTTAAGATCATAGGGCTTTTATGGTCCTTAATGATCCTACCTAACTAATTATCTGGTCTTAGCTAGTAATAAACCTATTCTCTCATTCATTGAAATTCATCCATCACGCTTCACTTTAAAATACACACTTTTAGTGTATCCGTGTGGAATAATTCTAGTAAACTATTTCCCAGGTTTGCGGGAAGATGAAGGTGAAGGAGAGGGAGAGACAGAGACAGTTGTAGAGGAGAGGTTGGTAGTCCCTCAGCCTGGTGATGAGTTCCTGGAACGCTACTCTGTACATGAGGAGCTGGGCAAGGGCCGATACGGGGTCGTCCACAAGGTAGTGTCATTGGAATATTTGATTTTAAAATCTTTATCTTAAGAATATATTCTGCTGATTTTTATTTTTACGAGACTCATTTGGACTCATCTTAAATCAATAAGTCTTATTGCTCAACCGCTTGTTCTCTCGCAAGACTTGTGAGCAAGTCAATATATGAGGTATTTTATAAAACTCAGCATATTTTGTATTTTTAATTAAACAGAGGTTGGTCCCAATTAATATTGATTGGACCTCTGCTGTATTATGTAATATCGATATCTAATATCGATATTTAAATATCGAACATGTACAGATACAATGCAATGCAACAGATTCTTCGTCTTTAGGAGATGACACCGTGGTTTAACTGGTCAAAATACTAGTTAAAATTTTGAATGTGTTGCAGCAATCCTTCTTGGGGCAAGCTACAATTATTCAACTGTTCAACTGATTATTTTTTGCTTAATTATAATTTAATTCATTTGGTAGAGGTGTTGCTGGTTTAGTAGTTAGAGTGTAGGCTTCGGTCCTAGAGCTCTATGTTCAAGCCCTGCCAATCATCAATGCTAGCTATGTTATAATGCCATGTTTCAGTGGTTCAGAACACCCTTTAAGCTGTAGGTCAACCTACCTAGTAAATAATAAATATGAGATCCCTCAGACAAGAATAACTTTTCTATTGGAATTCACACACTAAAAGCCATACTAATAATTGTTATTTTCCGTAGGTAACGGATCTGCGGACAGGCCACACGATGGCTGCCAAGTTTGTACGCTGCATCAAGAAGCAAGACAGAGAGAAAGTACAGGAGGAGATAGACATAATGAACTGTCTGAGGCATCCCAAGCTGCTGCAACTTGCTGCGGCCTTTGACAATCCCAAGGACATGGTCATGGTCATGGAATAGTGAGTGTTTGTCTTCTGAACGAAAACAAGGTGTTAAAAATATAATGGTTTTTGGACCTTGTGTTTCATCAAACCATCAGTTATACCCTAATAATTAGAAGTTCACCTCATTGTTCATACCTATACCCGAGTAAACAGAAAACATATTCTTAAATGGTAACTTAAATAAAATTATTGACCATGTCAAATATTTATGCATATACGTTCATTGACCTTTTAAAGTAAAATTTGTTGCGATTTATTATGCTAGGATGGACTCTTTCCCATTCATGTAAGTCTATTCCTACGATAATTATAATCCCCTATGTTAACAAATGACAATGTTTCCTCTTTCTGTGCAGCATCTCCGGAGGTGAGTTGTTTGAGAGAGTTGTGGCTGATGACTTCACACTCACAGAGAGAGATTGTATACTGTTTCTGCGACAGATCTGTGAAGGCGTCAGATACATGCACACCTGCCAAGTTGTTCATCTAGACCTTAAGGTACGTTGTAGGGTTGGATAGCATTATCACAACCAGTTACAAAGGCTGGTATGTCGGAAACAAGAGTATCTGAACCAACCAAACTTTTACTTACAGCTATTTAGCGAGTAAAACTAAATGAGAGAAACAAGGTAGGTGGAGAGGAGCGAAATCATCTCTTGGGCCCATAGCGCATTCTATTGCGGGCCTGCAATCACCCTTTTTTTTGTGTTTTCTAAAAACTTGTTTCAAAATTATTTTAAGTTTTGTGTTCATAAGATGAAAAAAGAACATGATAGAAATATGCATAGTGAAATCCCTAATTGTCCCTGAAATCAATGGGTAAACATTTCTTTTTGTCTAGAAAATGAGCAAAGATGGAAATGCCACTTCTAGCCTGTGTGAGGAATTAATACAATGTAAAGCCAACTCTGACTCATAGCACTTTTATCTTGTTTACCTTTACAAGTTCCCCCAAAAAGACTGTACATCCTAAAAGTTATTGTATGCTTTTAAATGTTCTCTAGTCAGATATTCCTCTGATATTGGTTGTAATCCCACAGCCAGAGAACATCATGTGCCACACAAGGACGTCGCATCGTGTCAAGATCATCGACTTCGGTCTCGCACAGAAGCTCCAGTCCAACACTCCGGTCCGAGTGTTGTTTGGAACCCCCGAGTTCATTCCTCCTGAGATCATCAACTACGAACCCATTGGTGTAGAGTCCGACATGTGGTCTGTGGGGGTCATCTGCTATGTCCTGTGAGTGGATAGAATAATCTGCTCTCACGTTCTTAAGCATTTACATTAAATTGTATGCTTAAATATCCAAGGATACTCCTTAGTATCATATATGTATTTTAGGGGGGAGGGCCAGAATGTTTTTTTTTTCTTTGTTTAGGGACAGACTTAGTTTTAGTCTTTCAAACCATGATATCAAAGTCCCTACTACTTCCTTGACTTCACAGAACAATGAGAAAACAATGTACTAACAACAATGGAGTAACAATGTTCATTCTTGTAGATCATCATGCCACCCATAAAATGAAACTTAGATATTCCTTCCTCTTCCACCTTCAAGAAAGTTAAAAAAATATATAACAGTTCAAAAAAACAAATAAGAAATAAATAAAAGTTGGATTGAGAAGTTTTAACATGCTTAGTTATTGACATGTATTGTTATCCTTTTAAAATGTATGCTATTTTTATATCAACTACTCATAGCACACTTTACACCCTCAGACTGTCAGGGCTGTCACCCTTCATGGGGGATAACGACGCTGAGACATTCGCCAACATCACTCGGGCCGACTTCGACTTTGACGACGAAGCATTCGAAGCCATCTCCCAAGACGCTAAAGACTTCATCAGTTCACTTCTTATCAAGAGAAAAGAGTAAGCTATGCATAGTTTACAATAGTTCATTATTTGTATTTCTGTAAAGAAATGTTTTAATTTCCCCATCGCTATGTGTTTCAATTGTTGTTTATTTTCTAAATCGTTCAATAGAATTTTTTTTTATGGACCTAAAAAAATAATTTATACTCCAGATTGTTTGCAATGATGATTTGGGTCTTACCGTCACTAAAATGCATTGTTTTGTTTCAAAACATAAATTTAAAATAGACTGGTTTATCTAATAAGCTAAAAGAAGTCATGACGTTCATTACCTAAGCAATCTGCATTATTGTATTGCATGAATATGCATATTCACTGATGTAGGGATGGTGAAGACAGATAGAGTTACAACCAATGTCTGAAATGTAAGAGAACCTTGCTAGTCTGTAAAAGACTGTGAAACTGTGATAATGTTACTTATGTGTCTCGTTGCTACCACTTAACTATTTTAAAGTATAGTTCGTTCTTGTAGTCTATTGTCTCACCCCTTTGGCTCCTTGGTATACGTTCCAAATACAGGCATTTGAGGCCCATGTAGATGGGTCCAGCCAGTTATTCCGAAATCTTACTAAGTAGTTTGTGGTGTTGCAGGAAGAGACTAACAGCAGAGGAATGTCTAAAGCACAAGTGGCTCACACAAAGTGACACAACTATGAACAGTGTCAAGCTGTGTACAGACAAACTCAAGAAGTTCATCATCAGGAGGAAGTGGCAGGTCAGCTATCTTCTGATACATATTTCCGTTTCGATGCTTAATTACATTATTAGGCTGTTAAGGAAGACAGATTATTGTTTATCATAATCTTCAGGGTCGTATTTCGTTAGTGGCGGACATGGCGGTCTCAGGGGGTCCCTTCCTGAGAGGGAGTTTCACTTGGAGCCCCCAAGAAATTTTTTTCTTTAAAATGAATTTCACAGATATAAAATTTGAAAAAAATAAGTAAAAGATTAAGTTTGAAATGTTATACAATGATGTTTACATTTGGTAAATCTTTTAATGTTGGAGTTCCATAAAGTTTAATAAATAGCCTTAGTTTGATGTATCACTGTAAAAAAATGTGCTTTGAATAGTTGTGTGGTTTTCGATTTCATTGATTTGTGCTTACTGCTAACTATGTGTTTGTTTTACCATTGTGTGGATTTTAATCAAAATAGATTTTTCCTTTTTGAATTTACCCTCCTACCTATAGTTAACATATTATTTTTTCCTGTATTTCTTGAACATGAAAATTTTTTACCAAGCTTGTGTGGCTTTTGTGTGTACTAATCCGCATGGTTGTGTTGTGTGTGATTTGCAGAAGACAGGGAATGCTATCCGGGCGCTGGGACGTATGGCAACACTGTCTGCGGCTAGTAGACGCAACTCTAGCACCAGCACGCCCCCCTCCCCCCGCCCCTCCCTGGCTGCCTCACGTCTGTCTAGCCTGGACGAGGAGGGGAGGGGCGACCGTGACCGAGCACGGGGCCGAGTATGCAGTGAGCGCAGTGACAGTGGCATCAGCGACTGTAGCAGTATCAACACCTCGGCTACCCCCACCACTCCCTGCCATCTCCTCAACAAGAAATACTCTATCTGCGAAGAGCCCGAGCACGACCTTAGTAGTTGTAGACTAACTGAGCACGGTGTGACTGTTAACAAACTGTGTGACGGTGTTAACGGCAAAGCCTCTAATGTTTCAGTCGCTGCCAAGAAACGAACGACAAATAGCTTAAGACTCGACAGTGAGCCCGCCAAAGCGCCTTCTCCCACTTTACAAAAGGACGCTAAACTATTCGGCAAAAGTGAAAACTTCCAAAAGGCCTTTGCTTTTTGGAAACAGTAATACTATGTACAAAGCCTTCGCAGTGCCCGTTGCCAAAGTTATTGTTAATGAAACAGATTGTTCTATACGGATAGAATAGTTGTGTTTTCAGTTTTAGTCTATTGTTATGCTTATAGCCGAGTAAATATAGCTTTTATCGTCAATTGTTATCATAATGATAACTTATTTCGTATCATTTAATATATTGTATCCTGTATTGTTACTATTAGCGTCAATAAATTAAAATTTTATTTATTAAATGTTTCTACAGTAACATTATTTACACTTCTCCTCTAGTTACTAAGAATAGTAAGAATCTTTAAACAAGTATAGGCCTACTGATGCCAAACAAAATGTTAAGATTAACTAATAACTACTACACAATCATTTATTTTCAGGTAACACTTAACTCACTTTTCTATCTCCTACTTAAAAGTCCGGACTAAATTTGTCCAGATATTTTTTATATTCCTCTTTTTCACAAATTTCTTCAAAGGCAAACCACAAGTCACGAGTTTCGCTGCATAGTTTAAACATGTGAGCAGCCATTGTATCGTTCCACCCTACATTCAGTTGGTAAGCGTGAATGTTTATAAAGTTTGGAAACGCTGGTTCTCCTTTGCGGCAATGCTCTATCGCGATGCTTCTAAACGTTGGGTCTTTTGCTCTAAGTCTCTTTAAGAAATTGGCAGCATGCTCGTTGTAACATTCCACATTCTCACAGAGCACTTGGTAATCATCGAGTTCCAACTCGTCAGATAACTTCTGAATTATTCTGTCTATGGCTTGGAGGTAGATTGAGGTCGGCACAAAACACCAAGCCACAGTGATCACACAGCTTAAGAGAGTGACAAGTCGCATAATGTTAGACAGTAAAACTGATAAGTCAAGATGAATCTGATGTGACAGTTGTTTCATATCAACAATTGATTACCAAGTCTGCAATACACACACTTTGTTGTGTGATTTAGGGTTAAATTTATGTGTTTGAATTTTTTCCTTGTATAATTTTTATTGTTGGTAATAATAAGGAAATCTAAAAAATCTTTTTAGTTTTTTCTTTTTCTATGAAAAATTACATACTTATCTATTTTACTTTATTGCAATAGTGAGGATGTCAGTTGATAGTGTATTATAATGAATAAAATCGTTGAGGGCTATTTAATAACACTAGCGCACCTGTTGCTCAAATTCAAGCAATTGAAACATAGAGCTACTACAGCTTAACTTGAACAAAGTTTTGGCAGCCATTTTTTATGTTTTGATGTAATTTTCTTTAAAACTAAAAGCAATACTCTGGGATCCATTTTTTACATTTGAAACATTAAAAGTTATCCTCAATTCTTCATTTTGGCATTTTAGTACCTATAACTTAATAAAGTTTGCCCATGAATCATAGTGACATATTTAACCAGCTGTAACTCAAGTATATAATCATTTTTTTCTTATATTTAGCTGTAGAATCATATACCAAGGGATTATTGTGGAATCTAGTATCACCCTGTTTATCTTTCTGTCACACTGGTTAACATTGTCTTGTCAATCAATCAATCAATCTTTATTTGCCATAAGGATACATTTACATATCATTGACAAAGTCTATTTGCAGATTTCAAACCAAGTTTTAACATAAACAACATAATACTCTTACAGGCTAAATATTACAATTAACATTCAACTCCATTCACATTCTTAACTGAAATTAAAACCAAACTAAAGGACAATTTCTCCCAGTTTAAAATAATCATCCAGACTATAAAAAGGATTCTGAAGTAGATAATTATAAAACATAGCCTTAAATTTGTTAATTGAATGAAAATTTATATTATTTTTTACTGAATTATACACTTTAATAATTGATAAAATTATGTGGCAAATACTAGTTTTACTAAGACGATGGGATTCTAACAGCGCAGTATTTTTAAAACGAGTGTTGTGACTGTGATTATTAAATTGAAGATATTCAGGGTTTTTTAATTATACAGGGTGATTCAAAATGAATGACCCAGTTTTAACGCTTTATAACTTTTATACTATTAAACTTACCGCTATAAAATACACATCAAACGAAAAAGCAACTCAAAGAGTTTATGTCTTCCAAAGACACATCATTTAACAAAATCGATCCAGCAGAACTGTAGATTTAATTGTACAAAGTTAAAAAGTAATCTCCAAATTTTTTTACCACTAGAAATTTTAGGTTACTTGACGTTTTTGCAAATAACTTTTAAATGGTGAGGAAATCGACCAAAGTGGAAGGTAATATTCCGAAAGAGAATAAAATTTCCTACAATCTACTAATAAGCATTTCTTGAAAATACTCAATAAATGTAGCTTAAATTTGGCTTAAAATAAAAAATTGTGAAATTTAATGTTTGCTATGTTTATTGTCTACATTAAAGACGGGGATTTTCAATTTTTCTTTCATTTTGAGGCAATTTTTGGTACCTTTCTTGAGTATTTTCAAAAAATGCATAATAGTAGATTGTAGGAAATTTTATTCTCTTTCGGAATATTACCATAGATAAAACATACTCCCTTAGTAGATTTGTCATCCTTATGGAACAGCTGAAGCCAATTTTATTGTTAGTTCTGTACGTCCAACTGTAGAGGTTATGTTTTGTTTACAATTTGTTTCTTGATATTTCAGTCATTTAAAACATCATTTAACCAAATAAAACTGCATAATCATAAACAATAACTGGTCTTCTAGTCATATAACCAAATAGTAAAGCACAAATCATGAAAATAACCCTTAAATAATAGAAACAAAATTTTTTCTACACTAGCGATCTGTGTGGACGTACATGAACTAGACACAAAAAAGAAGCTTCAAAATGTACAATGGGATGAGGAGTCTACTTGTGTTGATTAGTCTATGATATTACCTTCCATTTTGGTCGATTTCCTCACCATTTAAAAGTTATTTGCAAAAACGTCAAGTAACCCCCAAATTTCTAGTGGTAAAAAAAGTTGGAGATTACTTTTTAATTTTGTACAATAAAATCTACAGTTCTGCTGGATCGATTTTGTTAAATGATGTGTCTTTGGAAGGCATAAACTCTTTGAGTTGCTTTTTTGTTTGATGTGCATTTTATGGCGGTAAGTTTAATAGTATAAAAGTTATAAAGCGTTAAAACTGGGTCATTCATTTTGAATCACCCTGTATAAACAATCAGATCATAAATGAACAAATTTACTGCAGTTTGAATTTGCATATCTATAAAAAGAGGTTTGCAATGATCAGGGTGCGTCCCTGTCATAGCTCTTAAAGCCCTTTTTTGGAGAATCAAAATTTCTTTTATTCTACCACTACCACCCCAAAGCACCAATCCGTATCTCATGATTGACTGGAAGTACGCAAAATAGGCCGTCCTTACATATTTCTTAGGAACCTGATTTACAAGACGATCTAAAAGATGCACCACACGAGACAATCTTGAAGATAAATAATCTATGTGAGCATTCCATGTGAGTTGATCATCAATTTGAAGGCCCAAAAATTTTACAGCTGTGCTATTATTTAGATCACTTAAGAGAGTGGGGATTTGTTTTAGTGTAAAAATCATGTTTTGGGTTTTTTCGTCATTAAGCAAAAATCCATTTGCATTAAACCAATTTGATGCTTTTAGCTTTGTTTCATGGACAAGAATTTTTAGTTCTGTTAGGTTGGGGTTTACATGAAAAAATGTTGTATCGTCAGCATAAAGAATAGTTTGACTCTTTACTGACAATGGAAGGTCATTAAAATAAATTAAAAATAAAAGTGGACCAAGGACTAAGCCTTGGGGAACGCCCCATTTTACATTCTTTTCTTGTAACGTATTGCCGTTAATACTTACTATTTGTTTACGATCGTTTAGGTAAGATTAAAAGAAGAATTGTAGAGGCGGCCCTCGAAACCCATAACTTCGTAATTTGTTTATAAGAATTTTAAAATCAACACAATCAAACGCCTGTGCTCTCAAATGCTGTCATTAATGCTATAAGGGACTACTTAATGCTACAAGCCTACTAGTACTAGTACTTATGTGCTAGAAAAGTTAAATTTACTTTAAATGGGATTTCAAAATTTACAACATTAAGAGATTGCTGCTTAAAAACCCAATGTATTTGTTATTTCATTTAGTAATTCTCAAAGCTGTGTTTTTTTATCTAAATCCTGAAACTGATTGTATTAATTAGTGAGATAAGTCACTCATTATCAATCTCTCTTGACTTTTGACTACAGATAAAATAAGCACCACTAATTCAGCTCATTCTGTTTGAAGCCAGTGTCTAAGAATGCTGTTAGCATTCATTGTTGTGTTTGTTTTATCTACTTTCCATATCAAAGCATTGGAATATCCGGTAGTGCAAGTGGACCAAGGTGCTTTACAAGGAGTGGAGGACCAAACAACATTGGGGAAGAAGATTTACAAGTTTGTTGGAGTGCCTTATGCCAAACCACCTGTGGGCAAGAACAGGTTCGAGGAGCCCAAGCCAGCTGAGAAATGGCAAGGTATTTACCCAGCCACTCAACACAGTTCCGTTTGTTTGCAGCATATGTTGAACTATGACAGCCCAGATTTGATAATGGGAGAAGAAGACTGCCTGTATTTGAACATTTACACCCCGACACTATCCAACTCATCAAATCTTCCAGTTGTGGTTTATTTCCATGGAGGAGCGTTTATGTATGGAACCGGGCACATTTTCACTCCTCATTTTATCCTAGACAGATTTGACTTTGTGTACGTGTCAGTCAACTATCGACTCGGCCCTTTTGGGTTTTTGAGCACCGAAGATGAAATCGTCCCTGGGAACAATGGGCTCAAGGATCAAGCATTGGCTTTGAAGTGGGTGAATCAAAATATTGCTGCGTTCGGAGGTAACAAAGACGATATCACTCTCTCAGGGTTGTCAGCTGGTGGAGCCAGTGTGCATCTGCATTACCTCTCCCCTCAGACTACAGGATTGTTCCAGAAAGGAATTTCCATGAGCGGATGTGCCTTGAATCCTTGGGTGTTGGCTGAAAAGTCGGCAGAGAAGGCAAAACAACTTGCGTCTTCTGTTGGGTGTCCAATTGACACTTCTAAACAAATGATCAATTGTTTGAAGAGGAGACCAGGTCGGAAAATACTTGCACAGTTAAAGTCCTTGTTCTGGCCTTGGGGAACCCTTCCTTTCTCTCCTTTTGGAGTTGTAGTAGAGACTTCTGGAAAGAATCCATACTTGTCCGAACACCCTTTGAAACTTATCTCAGAAGGAAAAGTGGCAG